CCCCAAAACCCCAAAACCCCAAAACCCCAAAACCCCAAAACCCCAAAACCCCTTATTATTTCGGATAAATTGACAATTACAAATTAAAAATGCCTACTTCTGGTACTTCAGGTCTGCCTAAAATCGACTTTACTGTTTTATTCTCACAACATTCTTGAACAAGGTTCTTGCTGAGGTACATTTGGAGCTCAAAGCAAGGCCCACAGTCTGAAACAAAGCTTAAAATCTTTTCTTTTTGCAACTTTAGCATTTTTACTGTCAACTCTAATAAGAAATCTTCTCCTTTATAAAGGAAACAATCAATGATTCTCAGAGCAATATGCACGGGAGTTGAGTACAAGAACAAAGTTAGGAAGAAAGGAGCAAATACTCCCTCGATTGGTAATTCTTGCTCTACCATATGGTTGTATATCTCAGGAACCTCTTTGATAAGTCTTTTCCTTAGTCTCTCCAGCATCGTAATCAATTTGGGTGTATCTAATTTATATAACTTTCTCCATCTAAGATGCTTCATCATGGCGACTAGGAGCCAGAATGCTCTTTCTTCATTTGAATCAAATTTTTCAAGGAACAGAAAGACTATAAAGTTCATGCCTTGTCAATATTTGACATCAGGGTCATATACAGCATAAGCTTTAAGAACATTAAAAAGAGAATTATTCCCGGTGCTAATATCTTCTTTATGTTGGTCGAGCTCAGGGAAAGTCCTCATGATGTCTTTACTGATAGTATACTCAATATTTTCAACATCCTTAGTATTTAGGAGATCTTGGTAGCTTCTTTCTTCCTTCTTCTTGTATTTATTAACTTTGACTAGATATTCCCATATATCGCCTCTTCTTCTGTCAGGGAGACCCATCTTAATGCTCCAAATAATCCTTCTTTCTTGAATCTCTGATAATTCTTTAGGTGGGTTTTCTAAGAACTCCCTCCAGTCAGCCTCAGTGAAGATACATTGTATGTCAGAAACCATTTCGAAATCGCTTATGTTCTCTTCATCCTTGGTTGGTAATTTAGAGCCACTGGCTGATTCCTCTATTACTTGGGCCTGAAGCTCTGATAAAGTAGCCTCTTCAAAACTCTTTTTCTCAATAGAGCCTCTTAATTTCTGGCTGATACTTTTAGCGAGGGAGATATGGAAGTCGAACTCTTCGAATCCTTCCTCGAGCTTGTCCTCTTCAAATGCCTGCTCGTACTTATTTTCACCTAGTTCTTTGGGAAGGGTTTTCCTTCCAATATTTTTAGTTTTAGATTGTTTATTGCTATCTTCTGAGCCTACTGGCTTCTTTGTCTCAGAAGGTTTTGCTACCTTTTCTTCTTCACAATGTACTTTTGGGGTCTTCTGAGGAGTGGTCTTGCCATGCAATTTGTTCTTTACATCATTGAAGTTCTTATTTGATTGTATTAAGAGCTCCTTGGATTAAGCCCCCTGTTTTGGTGTGATCTTCAGGCTTAGCATCTAAATAAAGATTATTTCACCCTTCTTGTGATTGTCAAAATAGACTTACGATGTAGGTTATCATTTCTGCTGTCAATAATGTCGTACTCTTCTAATGCTTCTTCCATTGATAAAGTATAAATATTATTGCTAAAAAGAACTGTATGGGGTTTTGGGGTTTTGGGGTTTTGGGGTTTTGGGG